TTTATTAATTCATCTGTTAATTAATTTATTTATCTATGGGTTTTTTTCATTTTTTTTTCATTAACTCTTTCGGGGGGTGAAGGGCTCAAAAGAGCTATACCTCATTGACATTGTGCTTGAGTCATTGTTGACTTTTCACGATAAACAAACACATTAAAATCTATAATTGTTTATAAATCAAAACAAACACACTTATGATTATCTATAAATCAAAACAAACACATATATGACTGTTTATAAATCAATAAATCAAAACCATCAATAATTTATTTATAGAGGCACCAATCATCCATGTCCAGGTGCCGTTTCAGATAAACCAAAACTCCTGACCATCAATAATTTACTCACTGGTTTCCAACGAACACTTTTGGGACGACCTCCAATCAAACGTAATTTTTAATTAAAGAAACGCCTGATGAATTCTTCTCTCAGTCAGATGCACATGACATAAAACAACTACACACGTGCGAGTTAGACTTTATAATAGCAACTTCCATTCTAAAAAAATCAGGTGAGTACTCAACTTATCTTCCATTCACTGACCAACATAAATTCGAAGCTGCTCACGACTTTATTCTTTCGCCTGATTACTAGATCTACATTGCGAAACAAAACTTACCTGATCAACTGATCCGAAAGGAATGGGGTATTTCGTAAATTAACCCAAAAGAAATCGGGTTTTATGTAAACAACAACAAACTAGTCCAAAAAGAGACGCACCCGAAAAGCATTTCGATGTGAACATCTTCTTTGGATTGGATGTGGCAATGTGTTCTCAGCTGTCCTTGTTTTTTTTTTTTCGTGTGTACTTAACCAAACGTCCTGATAAGGCACACGGGTTCCGTTTTGAGGCTAGAGTGATTTGACATAGGCCAACGGCATGACTAGCTCAAGGAGGGATCACCACACGTGTGCAAGCAGCTCTGACCCAAACGTCTAGATAGTGGTAGTGTGCTCAGTCGAGATAGTGTGCTCTGCACAGATAGTGTTCAGTCGAGTGTGTCTACTGTGTAGTGCGTCCAGTGTAGTGTGCATTGTGTAGTGTGTCAAGCGCACTTGGAGAGACATCGGTCCTGTCTGATACATTGGCCCACTTAACCCCGTCTAGGTAAACATGTACACGCACACGCACACACACACACACACACACACACACACACACTCACACCGCACACACACACACACTCACACACACACACACACACTCACACCCACGTAGACACGCAAACATAGACACAAACACATAGACACACACACATATAGACTCACACTCATTCATACACAGATACACATACACACATACACATG